CTGGGGTCGCCCGTGGCCGGTGAGGGTCTCCCCTGGATGGTCAGTGTGACTGCGATGCAGCCATGGACCAGGGGCGGGGCGGGGGCAGGGAGGAGGCGCTGGGCGGCCCAGGGCAGGACCAGACTCGCCGCTCCGCACAGCCAGGGATCTGGTTGCCCAGAGTCACCTCCTCCAGTTTCTCGATCTCCCTCCCAGTCTGGCCGACGAGGCCTGTGGCCTGTAAAGTCCTGCGCCCTGTGTCAGCACGTTAGTCAGCCCTCGCACCCGGCTGAACCACCACGCCGCTGAGTCCCTATAAACTCGCCAGCGTGGCCCAGCCCAGTGAGTGGGGCCCGGGAGGCCCACAGGCAGCGCAGGGCCCAGAGCTGCCAGCCACAGGCACCGGCCCAGGGGCAGGGCAGGAGCAGAGGGCCCGCCGTGGCCTCCCAGCGATGCCCACTGCACCCGCCTGATCGCGGCTGGCTAGCGATGAGCCCGGGCCCCCAGGAGGCAGACAAGCTGGTGAAAGGCGCCGGATCAGGGCCATGTCAGGGAAACGAAGTCGGGCTCGGAAACCCCGAGGCAGGAGGGCAGGCAAGGCACAGCAGGCCTTGGGTCAGCAGGGCCCTGAGGCCCAGCCCCCGCCCCCTGCCGCAGGGGGCCCTCGGGACGAGGTGGGGGTGGCCCCCGCAGAGCACGTGACCCGCAACACGCAGGCTGCCCGGGGACGCCCCAGGGTGGCCGAGCCAGAGCGGCCCCGAGCAGCCGAGGGGCCAGTGCAGGCCACTGCGCTGGGGTCCAAGCCGGTGGCGGTGCCGGTGCCCACTGCGGACATGGAAGGCTGTGGGGCAGGGGGCCTGCCGGGCTTGGGTCCCGAGCTGCTGAGGCTCCACGAGGTCCAGCTGTGCCTGGCCCAGGAGCAGCTGCTGCTGGAGGACCGGCGGCGGCAGGTGCAGCTGCAGATGCAGCTGTGGCAGGAAGCGCAGCTGTGGCAGGAGCAGCTGTGGCAGGAGGAGCAGCTGTGGCAGGAGCAGCTGTGGCAGGAGGAGCAGCTGTGGCAGGAGCAGCTGGAGCAGCAGCAGGCCTGGGTGCGCGTGGAGGGGCTGGAGCTGGCCCTGGCGCTGGAGCAGCTCCGCAGCGAGGGCCTTGAGGTGCTGCAGACCCAAGGCCAGGTAAGGGGGCGGGGAGGCCCCGGACAGCCGCGGGGGCGCGGGAGCCATTCGAGCATCGCATGGATCCCTGCTGCGGCCGGCTTGGGGGGTGCTGGGGGCCGGCTGGGGGCCATAATCAGGCGCTCGAGGCGGGTGCCCCCTGCACAGGACACTCCAAGGACCATGTGGCAGCCAGTCCGCACAGGGTGGCCCAGGGCTACGCAGGGAGAGAGCGCCCAGAGAGGATACTCATTCGGGGACACTGAGGCAGAGGTGTTCGTACAGAGGACCCAGGCCTCCTGGTCAGGTGGGCCAGCGCACGGAGCTGCTGGAGCAGTCGTTGGCAGTGTGCGGGGCGTGTGGGGAGAGGGTGCAGCAGGACCTAGGTGGACGGTCAGCAGGTAGCAGCGGCGAGGAACATACCCACCCTCTCCCCACCCCACAGGGCTTCCCGCCCGGCCGCCCAGCCGCCTCCGCTGTTTACTGCAGGCTGTGTCCCCAGGGCTTGGGATCACAGCAGAAGCGTGCGGCTCTGAGCCCATCATCCTCATTCCAGAAAGGCTGCTTCCGCAGACGCCGCTGGGGCTATTTTGGGAAACTAGGGTCTAAACCCAGCTTGGCGTGGAAGGTCACGGCCACCCCAGCAGGGCGTGTGCGCTGCGAGCCCTCTGCGCTCCAGGGACTTGGGCCAGCCCCACTCCAAGCAGAGGGGCTGCATCTGGGGCATTGGGTGGGTGGTCCGTTAGCCAACACAGACCCCGGTGCAGGTCTGGGTGCCAAAAGGGCCCAGAACTGCAGCAGGAAGGTGCTGATGGCGTCACAGAGAACTCATGAGTGCCAGGACAGAGAAGAGATGCGACTCAGGGAATGAAAGGACCATGGGGGAAGGGGGAGGGATGAGAGGAGGTGCCCTTCCTGACCCACAGCAGGACAGAACCAAGGGCAAGCTGTTGCCATTCACTCTGGGGGCGGCCATGCATAGGGTGACCTAAGACAGCAGCTGCAGGCAGAGAAAAACAATGGGACGGCCCAGGTGGGATAGAGGGTCAGAGTGGACCACACTTAGCTTGAGAATCCCTCACATGCATTCTAAGTGAGCTCTGTCTCAGAACCTGTGCCCATTGCACCTGGGCCTGCGTCCCATCTCCACGGGCTCTAACGCTGTGCTCCTCCGAGCACTGCCCCTGAAACCCACCCAGGGGTACAAGTCTCACGGTCAGGGTCTGGAAAGGACTTCTGAGCTCTGAATCCTTGGTCGGCCGAGCCCAAGCCCAACTCAGAGACCCCCTGAAAGCCACTGTCCAAGGGAAGGGTCTTCTCAGAGCGCCCCGGGGGCCACAGCAAGGGTGTCCCAAGTCAATGGGCAGCGGCGGTGCTCTAGAGGTCAGACTCGCTTACCAGCCACAGCTCTTGGCTCCGCCGCAGGGGAGGACGTCTGCCGCTTCCCTGGTGCAGCTTTGGGCCCCCCTTTCTTGCTGGTCATCTGCCTGTGGGGGAGGGAGGAAAGGTCAAGGAGTGTGAGCTTAGAGAGGCCTGTGTGCACTGACAGCCTCACACCCCCTGCCCAGACCCCCTTACCCCAGCCTCCTGTGGCTTCTGGGCCCACCAGCTTGGTCCTGCTTTGTGGCCTGAGGGTGCCAGCAGCTCCCCAGCCGGATGGTTTCGAGGACCTCTGGCCCAGCTCACCCCCTTGCCCTTTCTCACCTGCCTCTACTCTCTGGTCCATCTGTCCTTCGGTCCTGGGCCCTGACAGAAGCCCCAGGCTGGGGGCTTCCTCCTAATGCACACGCCAGCCCGCTCTCGAGAATGCTCTCGCCTCCTCACTGCCTGCAGCCCCCCCGGGACACCGACACTCTGGGCCCCCAACCCTCTCTTGTTCCAGCTTTGACACGTGTTGTTGTCAGGGCCTGGAAGCAGTGCCTTCCTCCCTAACCCAGGTGGCTGACTCCAAAGTTTGTTTCCCTTGGGACAACTCCCTTGGCACAAGTTGGGTTGCGCCTCCCCTACGGCGCACCGGTGTCACCGGTGTGACCCTGTGCCTGCGTGCCCACCACCTTCTGGTGGGGGGGGGGTGTCTCAGAGCGTTTGGGGAAGGAATGAAGGAAACTGAGAGCAACCCTAGCAACCAAGAGGACAGGATCATGTGGCAAGACGGACAAGGAGGATGACCGGCAGAGATTGGCAGGAACAGGATTCGGGCATGGATTGGGGAGGGAGAAGCCTTGGGCAGGGCACTTGGCTTGGACACATGGTTGACCATAGGGCAGGCCCTAAGTGGGATCTGATGGGGAACTAGGGTTCTGAGCAAGGATCAGAAGTGTTTGGGGACTAAGGACTTCTTGGGGGGCAGTGTGTGCTCACCGGGCCACCTTCCGCATGGAGTAATGCTAGCAGCGAACCTGCTGAGAGGACTCTCAGCGTGCGTGTGGGGTCCTGTGCATCGCCATGCTGCTGCAGGGGAAGGGTCCTGGTGTGCTGCGGGATCCATGAATGTGGGCTTCCCTGCTGGGGTGTGGGGTGTGGGGTGTGGGGTTGCGGTGTGAGCGCTTCCCACGTGCATGCGCGGTCTCTTGTGTGCGTGTGCGGTGCTGTGCATGGAGGGTCTCGTAAGTGTGCAGGGGTCCCTGTGGTGTCCCAGGTACAGGGGGCGGGTAGCCCCGGTAGGTGCAGAGTCCTCCGTAGGTGGACGGGTCGGCGTGTAAGGAGGCAAGTGCGTGTGGCCTCCCTTGTGTGTGCCGAACGCCCTGTAGAGTCCTTGTGTGCGCGACTGTGGGGTCCGACCTACGCGGGGCGGTGGGGGGGCACCGTCCTGGGAGGGAACTGGGGTGTGGGAAGGGCCCTCGTGCGCGCAGGTGTGCGGGGGTCTGTGCGCGCAGGGTCTCCGTGTGCCAGCGGGGTCCCAGGAACCGGTGAGTACTGTGTGCGGAGGGCGGGGGGTCCTCCGTGAGGGCGTCGGGTTGGGGGGTGCCCGGTGTGGCGAGGGACTCCCGGTGCTCGCGGGGTCCCCAGGCCCGGGGCCGCCCCCGGCTTGGCGCCGCCCCCGCGGCCTCACCTGCCTCACCTGCCGCCCCCGCTCGCCGGCGAGAAGCCCCGCCCCCTCCGTCGGGCTGGCGGTTTCCTAGCGACTGAGCCGGAACTTCCGAGTCACCTCGACTTCCGGGGCGAGGGTCAGGGGTCAGGCATAGGGACCTCGAGCTCCGGCGAGCGGATGGGCCCCGGGGGCGGCGGGGGCGGCGGGGGGCGGCGGGGCCCGGGCGGCGGGGCGGCGGCGGCGGGGGCCGGGGCGCGGCGGGGGCCGGGGGGCGCCGGGGCGCGGGCGGCGGCGGAATGCGGGCGCGCCGCGGTGGGGCCGCCCCGCCCCCAGGTGCTGCCCGGGCAGGCCGGCGGCGGGAGCGGCGGGCGGGGCGGGGGCGGGCGCGTGAATCAGGCCGCGCGGCGGGCGGGCCGCGACGGGGAGTGGCTGCCGGACCGACCGGACCGCGAGGCCGCTGGGCGGCGGTCGGCTCCTGCTGCCCTTGTCCCGAGACCCCCGCGCACCTGGCCAGGTAGGGCCCCCTCCCCGGGCTCGAGCGGGGCGGGGCGCGCCGGAGGGGGTGAGGGGAGGCCGCGGCCGGGCCCCCGGGGGTGGGGCGGGGACGGCGCGCGCGGCGCCCCTCCGCGCGGCCTCACCTGGGCGGCCCCTCCCCCGCCCCCTGCACCTGGGTCGGGGCCGCGCGGCCGAGCGCCGGGCCGGGGGTAGGTCGCCGGGGCCGCGTGTGCCGGCGTGGACGCGAGCGCCCTCGCACGACGCCGGCCCGGCACGAGCCGAGTGGGAAGGGACCCCGGGCCCCGGGCCCCGGGCCCCGAGGCCAGCCCGCCCCGGGCCGTCCTTACTGGCTCCCGCCCTCGCGGCCTAGCTGGAGCCTGGGGAGGTAGCTGGGCCTGGCCTGGACCCCTCCCCGAGGGGGCCCCGCCCCGGGCTCCTTGGACCGGGGGTGGCCGGGAGGTCGACGCGCAGTCTGGTGTCCTGCGTGAAGTGCCGGGAGAGCGAAAGGCCTCGGTTCCCTCGCGCCCACGTCCCGGAACTGGGGCGAGTGGATGGGACACTGGGCCCCGGCAGCCGCCGGCTCCTTGCGTGCATGGAGCCCTTTTGGCCCTGCGGAGCACACCCCGAAGACTACGGCTCGGCTTCAGTCGGCGCGTCCCAGCGGGCGGGATCCCACCCCCAGCCCCAGGCTTGCGCAGACTTCTGCGGGGAACCCGCGCTCCCGCCCGTACCTAGCGCACGCTCACTGCGCCTTGAGTTCCTTCCAGTCCCCGACAAAACCCACCTCCTACCCAGGTGGGAAGGCCCTAGTTAGGGGCCCTGGAGGATTTGTCCGCCTTGTGCCTTGTGTCCGGGGTCAGAGGTCAGCAGCAAAGGAGCTGATTCCTGCTGAGTCATGGGTGGGGTGGGACGGGTGTCCCTCCCTCTCTCCCTTCAGGCAGGCGTTCAGTAGGCAGATGTGTGAGGGGGAACGCCATTGGGGCCCTGTCAGGGGCTGGAGAGGGGCCGCTGGCCAGTCCACAGTTCAAGGGTGTGCACGGTGAAAGGAAGAAAAGCAGTGGGCTTAGGGCTGTTGCTGTGTGAGGCCATGCAGGGCCCCCTGGCGTGGGCACGCAGGAGGGCACCCCCTTCCTGATGAGTACTGCCTGCTACGGTGGTTCCTGGGTGCCTTGGCACTGCCCTCCTCCCCATGGCTACCAGCCTGGACGGTTTCTGTTAACTCCCCTTCCTAGTGGGGTTGGAGCACAGGATCCCTCCTGTGTTCCCCCAGCTTGGGAAGGACTCTTTCTCAAATGTAGGGAGCACGATCGTGCCCCCAGGCCCTGCCTGGTCCAGCACAGACCCCATACCACGGAATTCCAGTCTTCCCGCCCCCCACCCTCTGTCGGGTCCTGGGGGAGGCCCCACTACAGGCAGACCTGCACCTGGTACCCTGGTGCAGTCCGCCCCTGAGACCAGTACGGGCATCTCTCGTGTAGCTGCGCGGAGTGATGAGGGACGGCAGATCTGGTTTCCTGCAGATCCTCTCCCTGGTAGCATGTCCCACCCCCACTGCACATCCAGTTGGCCAGTCAGTCCCCAGGGAGAGTGGACAGGGAAGGCGCCTCAGGTCATCGTGCACAACAAACAGTCTTGACCCCGACTCCGTCCAGTTCCCAGCTGTCTCCGAGCACCCAGTGACCCCGGCCGGTCAGCAGCACCCAGCCACTCCTGCAGACCGGGGCACACTGCACTCTGGCAGGACCAGCATCCAGGAGCCTGGGAGCTAGGCGGGATCTGAATCCCGCTCAGTCCTGGCCCCAAGCAGTGGCTGGGGTTGGGGGGGCCGGGCCTGGGGCTCCTTCCAGGGTAGGAGGAGGACTATTATCCGGGCGGTTCAGGGATTGGAGGTTCATGACCCCTAGGGGTTCAGAAGAGTCCCCCCCCCCCACGGTGGCCTTCCAGAGCTCATGGCCACTTCTGTCAGCCTAGGCCCCCTCGCAGGCCCCTTGGGGAGGCATGTGGACTGGAGTGGACCAGGCAGCGTTCAGGTGTCCTCGTGAAGTGGGCACAAGGGGAGAGGCACATATGGAGCCTGGGATGAGCCTGATGGCCACAGCCGAGAGTTCAGGCTACATCCAGAGCCAGGGGGCGGGGGGCAGCAGGGCCTGACCAGAGATGGAAGACCACCCCCCGCGCACAGCCCTGGGCTGAGCCATGCTGGACTCCAAGCTTGTGCAGTGAGAGGAGGCTGCGGCCGGATCTGCCAGGGGCGTGGTTCCGGGAGTTTTATCTAAGGTGGCACGGTGGCTGGAAACAGGGAGGGATGGGCCAAAGAGAAGGGAGTGGTCCTGGTGGACAGGGACAAAGGGCAGGGGTCAGTTTGGAGGGCCGTGAGGTGTGCCAACAAGTTGTGGGACTCGGAGTGTGTGACCCCACAGGACAGCTGCGGGTGTGAGAGGACTGCAGACAATGCTGGGTCCTGGGACAGAAGTGGCGACAGGTTTTGTAAGCTGAGCTCAGGTTGGGCCAGGCACGGTGGCAGGCCAGCCCTGACAGCTGCATTTTACAGTGGGGTTAATGAGCCAGTGGGGCACAGTGACCGGCCCTGAGGCCCCACTCACGCCCCTGTACTGTGGACACAGACACATAGGCGGGGGCCACCTGGCGTGTCAGCACGCACTGTAGTTCAGGGCCTATGAAAATGAGCTCATGCCCAAATGAGAAGAAAACGGCAAATACATAAAGAATTCGGCCTGGATTATATTTTCTTTATACCAACAACCAGAATGTATTGGGTTGTTCTTTTTCGTAATGGAGGTACAGAGAAGTACCTGGGTCACGGGCCGTCCGGGAACCCTGAGTGGGGATTTTGTGCAGCCGGAACCCCCGACTGGAAACCAGGGTGCGGGCACTCCAGAGGTTCCGGTGAGAGGAGGGGCCCCCGCACAGGGTAACATGAGACAGGGCCAGGGCACCTGTACCTGGGCCCCCCGCTGGCCTCCCCCCTGCTAGGGGACATCCTGGGGCCCAGGGGTGCCCAGAAGGCCTCCACGTGTGGCCTGCACTCCACAGCCCACCCAGGGTCACGGACAGCCCTTGCTACAATGTGTGTCCACACACAGCAGGGTCGGGGGAGCAGCCCCAGTTCCGCTGCCCCAGGAATGTGTCTCCTTGCCCCTTCCCCAGGCTCCTGGCCCCGACATGGCCCGTCGCTCCCAGAGCTCCTCGCAGGGGGACAACCCGCTGGCTCCGGGATACCTGCCGCCTCACTACAAAGAGTACTACCGCCTGGCGCTGGACGCCCTGGCCGAGGGGGGTCCCGAGGCCTACAGCCGCTTCCTGGCGTCCGAGGGGGCACCTGCCTTCCTGTGCCCGGAGGAGCTAGAGCACGTGAGCCGCCACCTGCGGCCCCCTCAGCATGTTGGCCGCGAGCCCCCTGAAGGCAGCCCCCCCAACGCGGACATGGATGGCTCCTCGGGCACCTACTGGCCCATGAACTCAGACCAGGCAGTGCCTGAGCTCGACCTAGGCTGGCCCCTGACCTTCGGCTTCCAGGGCACTGAGGTCACCACACTGGTGCAGCCACCCCCGCCGGACAGCCCCAGCATCAAGGATGAGGCTCGAAGGATGATTCGCTCTGCCCAGCAGGTGTGCCTTCGCAGGCTGGGTGGTCAGTTGGGGGAGCTGCCTGAGCTGGAGCCCCAAGCCTGAGTAGGAGTGGGGGGGCGGGGGCAAGCCCCACCCCGCCGGCTGGCCACGCCCCTCCAGCCTTCTTTCTGGGTCACGTGTTTGGTTATTGCACACTGTGGTTCTCCCTGCCCTCCTACGTGGCCAGTGTCCAGAAACTCCAGGGCTCTGGGATGGCTGGGCCCCCTTCCTGGTCTGGACTTGGGGTTCAGAGAACTCTCTCTAGTCGAACCTTTGACCCAGGCTTGGCCCCACCAAACAGGAACCAGAGATGGAAGCTGAAGGCAGCAGGTCTGGAAGCCAGAGGCCCCAGACTGCCCTCTGCACTCTGGAGCGCAGTGTCCTCGCAGGGCCAGAGAGCTAGGGCCTGGGTGGTGCCTCTGCGGCGGGTTGTGCGGTTGCATTTGCCTCCTCCCTTCCCCAACACGAGGGAGGCTCTGTGCCTGCCTAGGGCTCCATCTTGGGCCTCCTGGCAGCCAGCAGCCCCACACCCCCTCTGGTAGGCGTTCTCCTGGCTCCCCTTCCCTGGCAGGGCCCGCTGTCCCCAGGAGGGGCCAGAGGGCGATCTGTGGTGTCTGGGTGATCCTGACGCCCGCCCAGGCAGGCAGGAATGGCGAGAGAATGGTGGGGACAGCAGAGGGGTCTGTCCTCTGTCCCTGACCCGCTCCCCCGCAGGTTGTGGCCGTGGTGATGGACATGTTCACAGACGTGGACCTGCTCGGTGAAGTGCTGGAGGCAGCGGCACGCCGCGTCCCCGTCTACATCCTCCTGGACGAGATGAACGCGCAGCACTTCCTAGACATGGCCGACAAGTGCCGCGTCAACCTGCACCACGTGGACGTGAGTGACCCCGGCGGGGGTGTGGGGGGGAGGTGGAGGGCGCCTCGTCGGAGACCTAACGCCTCTCCCCCAACCCCCAGTTCCTGCGCGTGCGCACTGTGGCGGGCCCCACCTACTACTGCCGCACTGGGAAGTCCTTCAAGGGCCACGTGAAGGAGAAGTTCCTGCTGGTGGACTGTGCCGTGGTGATGAGTGGGAGCTACAGGTGCGCCCAGCCCGCAACCCCGACACCTCCCCCACCTAAGGGCAGCCTCTGCCCAAGCCCTGGTCCAGTAGCCCCTGACACGGCGCACCCCCCCCCCCGGGTCCTTGCAGACAGGACACCACAACTGCAGGCGGCCTTCGGCGCCCCCCAACACTCCCCCACACTCGGCCCCGCCCCTCTCCTTGACTCTGACCATGACACCCCCCCCCACCCGCAGCTTCATGTGGTCCTTCGAGAAGATCCACCGAAGCTTGGCGCATGTGTTCCAGGGCGAGCTAGTCTCCAGCTTCGATGAGGAGTTCCGCATCCTGTTCGCCCAGTCCGAGCCTCTGGTGCCCTCCGCCGGGGCGCTGGCCCGCATGGACGCTTATGCGCTGGCTCCGTACGCGGGAGCCGGGCCCCTTATGGGCGGCCAGGTGACCGGGGCGCCGACCCCCTTCTCCTTCCCCAGACGAGCACACCTCCTGTTCCCACCGCCTCGGGAAGAGGGCCTGGGTTTCCCGTCCTTCCTCGACCCCGACCGCCACTTCTTGTCGGCCTTCCGCCGGGAAGAGCCAGCGCGGATGCCGGGGGGAGCCCTGGAGCCGCACACTGGGCTGCGGCCGCTGTCGCGGCGGCTGGACGCGGAGGCGGGACTCGGGGGCGAGCCCGCGGGCCCGCGGGGCTTCTTCCAGGCCCGGCACCTGGAGATGGACTCCTTCAAGCGGCACAGCTACGCCGCCGCCGACGGTGCAGGCGCGGTGGAGAACTTCGCGGCGGCGCGGCAGGTGTCACGACAGACGTTCCTCAGCCACGGGGACGACTTCCGCTTCCAGACCAGTCACTTCCACCGTGACCAGCTCTACCAGCAGCATTACCAGTGGGACCCGCAGCTGGCGCCGGCGCGCCCGCAGGGCCTGTTCGAGAAGCTGCGTGCTGGCCGCCCGGGCTTCGCAGAGCACGAAGACTTCGCGCTAGGGCCCGGGCCCCGCTTCCCCGAGCTCGGCCCCGACGGACACCAGCGGCTGGACTACGTGCCGTCCAGCGCGTCACGCGAGGTGCGCCACGGCTCAGACCCCGCCTCGGGGCCGGGGCCCCGCGGCCTGGAACCCAGTGGGGCCCCACGCCCCAACCTGGGCCAGCGCTTCCCGTGCCAGGCGGTGGCGAGGCTGGGCCCGGATGCCGCGCCCGACGCAGAGCCCGAGCACAGGGGTGGGCCCGAGGGGCGGGCGGGGCTGCGGCACTGGCGCCTGGCGTCCTACCTGAGCGGTTGCCATGGCGAGGACGCCGGCGAAGAGGGCCTGCCGGCGCCCATGGAGGCCGAGGCCTATGAGGACGACGTTCTGGTGTCCGGGGGCCGAGTGGCCCCCGGGGACCTGCTCCCTTCAGCCTCCCGTGCACCCTTCCCGGCCAAGGGCCTGGTGCCTTGCTCCGGCGGCGGCGACAGCCCAGAGCGCGAGGGCCTGGAGGAGGCAGGTCTGGCCAAGCAGGACTCTTTCCGCTCCCGCTTGAACCCGCTGATCCAGCGCAGCTCACGCCTGCGCTCCTCTCTGATTTTCAGCGCTTCGCAGGCCGAGGTCGCCGGTGGGGCCACAGCGGCCACCACTGAGAAAGCGCAGCTGCTGCACAAAGAGCAGGCGGTCAGCGAGATGCTGGGCCCCAGTGGCGAGGCCGTGCGCTCCGCCACTTCCACCAAGGTGGCCGAGCTCCTGGAGAAATACAAGGGCCCGGCGCGTGATGCTGGAGGGGTGGGGGCCCCAGTCACAGTCGCCAGCCACAGCAAGGCTGTTGTGTCCCAGGCGTGGCGGGAGGAGGCGGTGGCGCCGAGTGGGGCGGGAGGCGAGCGCCGCAGCCTCGAGAGCTGCCTGCTGGACCTGCGCGACTCCTTCGCACAGCGGCTGCACCAGGAGGCAGAGAGGCAGCCGGGAGCTGCCACGCTTACTGCCGCCCAGCTGCTAGACACGCTGGGCCGGAGCGGCGCCGACCGGCTGCCCTCTCGCTTTCTCTCCGCCCAGGGCCGCTCTGCCTCCCCACAAGGGCGAGTCAGCCCCCCGCTGGAGGGGCATGGGCCACGCCAGGCACCTCACCCTGAGCCAAGAGGGAGCCCCACCTCTGCTTACCCTGAGCCAAAAGGAAGCCCCACCTCGGCCTATCCCGAGCGCAGGGGTAGCCCGGTCCCCCCTGTACCGGAGCGCAGGGGCAGCCCGGTTCCCGCTGTACCGGAGCGCAGGGGCAGCCCCGTCCCCGCTGTGCCCGAGCGCAGGGGCAGCCCCATCCCTGCTGTACCGGAGCGCAGGGGCAGTCCTGTCCCCGCTGTGCCCGAGCGCAGGGGCAGCTTGACCCTTACCTTCTCTGAGGAGTCTCCGAAGACTGGGACTGCGGAGGAGACGGCTGGCGGCCCCATGGAAGTCCTGCGCAAGGGCTCCCTGCGTCTCCGCCAGCTGCTGAGCCCCAAGGGTGAGCGGCGCACGGAGGAAGAGGGCGGCTTCCCAGCGCCGCAGGAGAACGGGCAGCCGGAGAGCCCCCGGCGGCCGTCGCTGGGCAGGGCGGATAGCACGGAGGCGGCCACCGGAGACGAGCGGGGCCCGCGGGCGCGCACGGCCTCCACCACGACCAACGCCTTGTACAGCAGCAACCTGCGGGATGACACAAAAGCGATTCTGGAGCAGATCAGCGCCCACGGCCAGAAACACCGCGGGATCCCCGCGGCGGCCCCGGGCCTGGCTCACAGCAGTCCTGAACTGGGCCGCTCCCCAGCTGCTGGCGGCCTGGCTCCGGATATGTCCGACAAGGACAAATGCTCCGCCATCTTCCGCTCGGACAGCCTGGGGACCCAAGGTAGACTGAGCCGAACACTGCCAGCAAGCGCGGAGGACCGCGACCGGCTGCTGCGCCGCATGGAGAGCATGCGCAAGGAGAAGCGCGTCTACAGCCGGTTTGAGGTCTTCTGCAAAAAGGAAGAGGCCGGAGCCCCAGGGGCGGGGGAGGGCACAGCGGAGGACGACACCAGGGACAGCAAGGTGGGCAAGTTCATGCCCAGGATCCTGGGTACTTTCAAAAAGAAGTGAGCCTCCTGCTGCCCCAGCCCCCGACCAGGCGCCTGCCTCACTGCCTCCCACCAGAAAAGATGCCTGGCGTTCCCCAGGACTCGGGGTGGAAGCGGCGGTGGTGGGGCGCGGCCCCACCTGGAGCTCGCCCACTGCGGCCGTGGCCTGGCCTGGCTCCTCCCTCATGCCACGCCTTACTCCTCCAGCTCCACCTCTGCCGCAGTGCCCCAACCGCCCCCTTCCTAGCATCCCCGTCCACCATCTCGGCTTCAGGGCTCCTCTAGACCTGCACTCACCTCAGGGCCTGATCTTTTTGTGCCTTAGGTCCCCACCTTTTCGGGGGCCCATCTTTTTGTGCCTCAGTCCCCCATCTTTGGGGGCCCCAGATCTCAGGGCTTCCGTGTCTCAGGACTCCCCTCTGCTCACTGCTCCCCTGCCCGGATGCTTTGCCACTTTCCTGCGTGCCGGCAGCCCAGCCTCTCTCTCTTCCCCGGGCCAGCGTCTCCCCCTGCACCCCGCGGCTCCAGGCTCGCTTCCTACCCCGCTGCATTCCCCCTCCCGGTCTCCCTCTCTGCCTCCTGGCACCCTTCTCAGTGGCCATTCACTGGAGGGGGATGGGGCAGAGCTGGTTCCGGCAGCTTGTGATGGGGGTGGGATAGACCCAGACCCAAAAGGGGTCCGTCTCAGGAAGCATGGTCCAGGGGCTTGCTGATGGGGCGGGGGGGTGGTGCCCAGGGGACTCCTGAGAGACCGTCCTGCCAGAACTGAGGCCGGCCTGGTGGCTCTTCCTGTGGGGCTCCAGCCAGCACCCCAGCCCCCGGCAAGGGCTGAAGGGCTGAAAGCCCCCGCGTTGGTAACACTCGGAAGCCGGGTCTGGATGGAGGCTTGTACTTGAACCTGAGGGCGGGGGTCCGTGCAAGGCTGCAGGACCCCTTCACGTGTCCTGTTCTGGATTCTTCCTGCTTTGTCACCAACCTGCAAAATGGAAGTTTCCCCGCCGCCCGTTTCTGTATCTCTTTCACCTCTGGACAGTGACTTTGATTTGGAATAACACGTTTTGACGCCACATGCTTAGGAAGCGCCACTGTAAGGGCTAGCATTGGGAAACTAGTATTTCTGCAACCTTTTTTTTTTTTTTTTTAAGAATAAGAAATGGCAGTCACTCAGCCTGGGAAAGGATTTAAGGAACGAGGCCGTTGAGCCGAGGTGGCAGTTCTGACTCCAGGCCCCTGGAGAAGGGCGGCAGGGGTTGGGGGACACTGGGTCAGGTGGAGGGGGTCACCGAGGAGCCAGATGCTCTCCAGTGTCCCTCGGCCTAGAGGCACTTGCTAACCCGTTTGCTTTCACATGTCTCGGCGCAGCCCTTGTCTGTGTCCTCCGCGTCGTGCTGAATGACACATGTCAAATGTGATTCTGCACATCTTGGTGTTAACAATAAAACACAACAACACATTCCTAAATATAGATACCTCCCAGTTAATACATGGCAAACGTTAGTCTTGGGAACTCACATTTCCTTCTGGATGGCCCCATCCCTTCGGGGAGCACTAGAGACTCCCCCCCCACACCTGTACTGCCATCACCTGTGGCCACATCTGACCCAGGAGACTCTCCATCTCCTCGCCCTCCCAGGACCTGCTCCCCTGCACAGGCAAACTGCTTTAGTCCGATAGTCCCACGTCCAGTTCTGCCAGCCCTCCGTATAGGCACACCCCGCTGGGGGCTCCTGGTCACCAAGCCCCTCTGGCCACGTGCCCAGGTGTCCAGATCTCTCAGCCATTCTGCCACCCCCCCCCCGCAGGGCTGGGCTTCCTGGGGCCCCACCTGCTCCTCTCTGGGCTATGGGGTTCCTTCCCTCCCCCTCATCCATCACCTGGGGGCTATGCCTCAGGCTCTCGGAACTCAGCCCACTCCCCCTTCACCCCCCAGCCGCCGGTCTTCCGACTGGCTCACCTCCAGGCCAGAACCGGGCCATCCGCTCTCACTTCCTCTGTGGGCTCCCTCCCAAGTCCCCGTCTGCTTGCCCCGTCGCTGGCGGCCCCCTGGTCTGGGCCCGCCCTCTGCCCGGCTCTCGCCGCTCTTCCTCCGGCGCCTCTAGCAGGTGCCGGCAGCCTTCACAGGTGCGCGGAGCTCCCGCTCCTGGCCGCCCAGCCCCCGGCACAGCACAGCCCACACCCTGTAGACCGTGAGCTCCAGCCGGCAGTTGGGAAATGGCCTGTGTTCCAGCGCCTGCCTGAGGTCAGTTGTGGTGCAAGGCTCACTTGGGACCGTGAGACAGGTGTCCCCCGGAGCCCCTCGGATCTCTTCAGCTCCCACTCTCCTGGACCCGCCCCTGCCAGGACAGACCAGCTGCCGGTCACTGTTGGTGGCCAAGAGCACAATGATCACAGGCAGGGGTTGGACCCTGGGGCACTGCCCTATCCTCTTCCACTTTTACTCTGGCTCAGAGTTGCAAATGCTGTCACGTGATGGTCTGCACTGAGGCAGCAGGTGCACAAGTCCCTACTCACGCACCCCCAGAACCTGAGGACAGGCTTGTCCCTCTGATGGTGCTCTGGCACCAGGCAGGCCCCAGACCATTTGTGGAGAGAGGATGGGAAGCTGGCCCTGAGGAGCCCCCCCAGGCCAGTCATTGGTGGTGTGAGCCTCCAGGGACAGCACTGGGCACCGGACAGACAGGAGCCACACAGGGACAGCAGGTGTCCACGCAGCTTCTCATGGGCTCTGTACTAGACACGGGGGTCCTCCGAAGGGGGTGGTTTCCAGGGAAGGGGTGGTGTGACCTCGGAGGGAGTCGCCACTGAGAACAGAAGATAGGCAGGCAGGCTGGAGACGGACACGAATTTATTGGAGGACGTGATTGAGGATGGGTGGGAACCTCACCCACCCCACCGGGGAGACCTGGACAAGCCCCCTGGATCTCGAGAATGTGGCCAGGCAAAAACGCAGGCCGGTAAAAGGGGGTTGTAGAGCATGGGGGACTCGGGGGGTAAATCTGGGGCTGGGAGAGGGGCAGGGGACTGGGCAAGGGGCACGGGCTGAGCAGAAGAGCCGGGCTGAAGGCCGGTGGGGCGGCTTAGGCGCGGGGACCCGGGAGCAGCGGCAGGCGGCCCAGTGCCGAGCGGCAGACGGTACCGTACGCTTGAGAGTAGCCCCCGAGCGCAGCTCTTGCGGCGCCCTGGACCCCCTGCGAGGCCGAGGTGCTGAACATCCTCCGGCCGGGCCGGGGCTCGGGCCGGCCGTCGGCGGGAAGCCCGCGAGGGACCTGCACACGGTCCAGGGGCGGCGTGAGGGGCGGGACCAGAGGGAGGGTAGGGCCCCGACTCGGGCGACCCCAGCGGCCGAGGGGGCGGGAAGGACGTCCCGGGAGCTCACCCGTCGCGCACCGCTCGCGCGCAGCTCTCGGCCCGGGTTCCAGTCGCTCCGGACTAGGGCCTGGATGGCCACCCGGGCGGCGGCCTGCCTGGCGAGGGAGGGGGCCGCCCCCTTGCCACTGGGCTTCACCTGGGAAGGGGCGCGCCACCGGGTCACTGCCCGGCCCTCAGAAGGGATTGAGGGGGCCCCTCCCGGGCCGACCTACCCACGAGGGTGCCGAGGGGGCCTCCGGCGTCGCCGCAGGGGGCCTCTCCCCTCTCCCGAGACCTCGTGGGGGCGGAGGCTGGAGCAGGGGGGCCGAGTTCTGCCGTGGAAGGTTCTTGGCTCCGCGGGCGACGTCTGTGGGGTCGGAAGATCAACCCCCGGGGTTAGTCTGGCGCAGCCGACGCCCGGTGGCTCCACCCGGAAGGGGCAGGGGCCGCGCCCGGTGCGGGGAGGCCGTCGGAGATCACACACCCGGCGCGGGCCGCTGAGCCGGGCCGCTCTGAGGTCTGCGTCCGGGGTTCCGCGTGGGCGAGCCCGGAGTCGGCGGAGGGGCGGCGCTGGGTCCGAGCAGGTGCGCCTGGGGCGGGGGGGCGCCGGGTTCTGCGCCCGGGGGTGTGCCCCCCACGCCCTTCTCTCTGGGGACCCGGCTGTTGGCCCTGCGCTCCAGGATCATCTGCGGAGAGGGAGGGGCGCTCAGGGGTGCACCGCGCGGGTGTAGAGGGTCCGGGGGTCGCTGAGGCAGGGGAGGGGCTCGAGGGTGAGCGCGGATGGGGGACGTCAGTGGTCGCCGCCACAGCACCTGATAGACGCGGCTGCGATACTCGGGGGCTGAGAGCTGAACTCCTTCGAGCACCGGGAGCCGCACAGCTGAATCCAGGGTCCACTCACGGGCCGGGCAGTGGAACCTGCCGCGAGCCAGCGAGGCGGGCGTGGCAGAAGCGGGACTCTCCGTCTCTCCAGCCCGGCGCAGATCCGAGACCCAACATCCAGCCCCAGCAAGGGAGGAGCTGGCCCGCGGCACCCTGCCCTCTGCACCCCGCCCGCCCCGCCCCTACCTCTGCACGTAGGGGTGCTGCAGTGCCTGGGCTGCGCTGAGCCGCTTGTCGGGGGCAAATACCAGGAGGCCCCTGAGGAGATCCAAGGCCTCCGGGGGTGTGTCTGGCGGCAGGAGGGTGTCCAGCGGCTGCCGTGGCCTGCGGGCGCCGGCTACTGTCCCCTCTCCAGGTGCAGGCTGCTCCCACACCCATATCTGTGGCAGCTCTGGTTCCGACCCTGACCCTCTGCCCAGCACCCTTTAACCGACCTGGTGCCTCTCTGTCCCCATGCAACACCCTCAGGCAGTCTGGCAAGGGGCGAGACCCCTCCCCGCCTTGCTTCGGTCCCGTCCTCTCCAAGCCCTGCTGCGTTCCTGTGGGCCTCCCCACACCTCCGGCCATGCTGGGGGACGCTGAAGGTTCCTCATTATTAGTGTGACCAAATAGCTGGCTGTGGGACCGCCATCAGAAGCCCAGGGCCCAGGTCTGGGCTGGCGGACTGGCCCACAAGTTGACAGGAAGAGTGTCAGAGCCAGGCTCCTAAGCACCCCCACTCACCAGGCCCGTAGGCAGGGCAGGATCGAGGCACTGTAGCTTGAGCCAAGAGCCAGGAGGTCTGCAGATGGGTGGACGGAAGATGGTGTGTGACTGGGAGGGCCTGGTCCAGTGGGACCACTCAGGGAGGTCGGGGGCCAGTGGTCTCTTCCTGCCCTGGGGAGTACCTGCCTTTCCAGGCGTGGGCTTTCTGGCAGGACTGGGAGCTGGAATGCCTAGATTCACGCTACCTGTGCCTGCCCTTGCACAGTTTTCTCCTCCCGCTCCTGCACACGCACTCCACATCTGGGCATTCCCTCCTCCATGGAAGGACCCCTTCCCCCCCCCCCCGGTAAAGCAGAGACTCAGGGAAAGACAATAGGGCTCCCCCCACCAGGTTCTTCCCCTCTCTTTTGCCCTGCTCCCCAACGCCCCCAGGGAAGAGGAAGGACTCCCTAGACTACCTGACCCCCACTGCTATCTTCCACCACCTCTCCCCCCACCCTCTGCTGCCCCGCTCCCAGCACAGCTGCTGGACCTGCTCCCGCCAGCCCCAGCTCCTGTCCTGCCCCAGCTGGACCCTTTATGGGCACTGCTTGGCCCTCAGGGACCTGTAGCTCCCCCCCAGGCCTATCATGTGTAGGCCCTGCCCTTTCCGGTCTTCCCGAGGCTCTGGACCCTTCCCCTCCCTTTCATCCCCAACCTCCTCTCCACCAGTCCTGGCCTGTCCCGTGCTGTCCCCTACAGCTCTGTGTGCTGACCCTCAGACTCCCTGATGCCCCGCAGGGCCCTGCACACACTCACCCTCCTTGGACGGCGGTGGGATGGTCTCCAGGATGAGCTCCAGCTGGTGCAGCGTGGACGTGCCTGGGAACAGGGGCCTTCCCCGAAGCATCTCCCCCAGGATGCAGCCCAGACTCCACATGTCCACCCCGGGGGTGTACCTGGGGCAGGAAAGGGTGCACGCATGGGGAGGGGACCCTGGAGGCAGAAGTGGAGGGAGGAGGAGACACAATCAAGGGGGCAGGGTCTGGGGCACTGGAAGGGAGTCGGTGAGGGCTCACGTGGGGGCCCAAGAAGGCCTGGGGGGCCCTGGCTGAGTGGGAGGCTATGGGGGTGCTGCAGCGGATGGTGAGGGTGTGGGGGGGCTGATGCTCTTACCAGCTGGAGGACAGCAGCACCTCGGGAGCCCGGTACCAGCGCGTGGCCACGTAATCTGTCAGGGCCTGGCCCTCAGGCCCCTCAGGGAGGCCACCGAGGGAGCGGGCGAGACCAAAGTCACAGAGCTTCACCGAGCAGCTGGAGTCCAGGAGAATGTTGGACGGCTGCAGGGGAGGAGGCAGGCTGAGCTCTGTCAGGGGTGGGTGCACATGGTGGGGGGGACGGGGCCCACGAATGGAGCACAGGGGGGCACCTTCTGGTCCCGGTGGATGACATGTCCCGAGTGGATGAACTTGGTGGCCCGCAGGAGCTGGTAGATGATGTAGCGTTTGTGGGTGTCCTTCAGCAGCCTGCCTTTACAGATGACGGCGTTCAGATCCGTGTCTAGGGGAGCATGCGGGTCAGCCCGGGGGCCTGGGAAGAGGGCACGGGTCTGCCCCTCGCTGGACCCCTCCCATGGCCGTAGCCCCCAGGTCCCACTGGCCTCCTTGCAGCCCTGTCCCTGACCCTGTCCTGGGCACACACACGTAGTGGTTCCGTCAGCTTCTTAGGCCTGTTGGCTGCCTTGGTTGGTGTAGCAATGAAAGTCTGTGGGATTACGTTTAATACTTTATTTCCTGTCCCTTTGTTTCATAAAATAGGTAGAAAAGGGAAAATACAGCTGCAAGCGGCAGAGAAAGCAGGAGCCTGCAGAGATGGGCTCAGGGGGTCACTGCCAGGACCCGGTGCTGACACACGCCTGTGGTTTGTCATCGGGCACCAAGGAACTGTCCCAGCTGGCCACTATGGTGGCCTGGGCAGCGGAGGGACATAAAAAGGGGGGCAGGCCCCGGGAGGGCGCAGCACCAGGGCTGAGCAAGGCCGCACTCACCCATAGACTCAAACACGAGGTAAATGTCCCTGTCGTTCTCCGCCCGGATCACATCCAGGAGGCGGATGATGTTGGGATGGTCCCCAAGTTCCTAAGGAGAGAGCCTGGGGCTGTGTGCTTTGAGGGGCGAGGGTCCATGCTTCCCCCCTCGTTTGGAGCAGCTGCACCTGGGGAGGAGGTCAGATGGCCCTGGCCACTTACCTGGAGCAGTGTGATTTCCCGGAACGTTCTCTGGAATGAGACAGAAATATGAGTGTGGGTTTGGATCTTGGAAGGCTCCATAGGGACTGATTCTCATTGCGCAAGCCACTGGACCACAGGGTCACCGAGTAGATGGCGCTCTGAGCAGTGACAGAGACCCGCTGTGACAGAGCTACCAGGCACCAAGCAGCAGGGCATCACCCCACACCCCCACCCTTGTCCCTCTCACTCCTCTTCTCCACTACTTACCTGGGCATCCGTCTTATCTCTAAAGGCATCGAAGATTTTCTTGATGGCCACAACCTCACCAGTCCTCCTATCCACTGCCTTCCACACGATGCCATAGGCCTGCAAGAAGGCTGGTCAGCTTGCTGGGCGCAGAGCCAGCCTCCTGCCCCCTCCCCTGCCCCACCAGACTGCTCCTCCTGCCTGCTCTGGCTGCTGGGAGGGAATGAGGGTGTGGTGAGGGGCTGTGGCTCTGGGCGAGGAGGTCCCTGCAGCGGCGGGCTGCTCAGCCTACTGCCCAGGACCCCGGCGGCTTCCAGAGGAGGGTGACAGGAAGCAAGACCCCAGAAAGAAATAAGGTCACAGATGGGAGATTGTGGATAGGAGAGGAAACCTGTTCTGGGCCCATTTATCCTCTTTCACATCCCCCTCCAGCCCATCAGCAAATCCTACTGGCGCCACACTCAGAATTCGTCAGAATCCGACTACGTGCTACCATCTCTGCTGCTGCATCTGGTCTGAGCCTCTTGACTCTCCCACATCTCCTGTCTGGATCAGTACACTAACCTCTTAACTGGTCTCCTTAGCCTGCACCACCGTCCATCCTCTACATACCAGACAGGGTAACTTGTGGCACCAAAGGCTGCTACCACCCTCTATGTCATGCTCAGCAGAAGCTCTTGCAGTTTCCCAAAGGCTCAGGTGATCAGAGCCCTCCCTCAGTCACTCCTATCCAGGTTGTACCAACTCTGCCTTTTCCCCACAGCCAGTAGGTCCGTGCCGCAGGGCCTTTGCACTTGCTGTCTGCACTGTTTGGAACATTGTTTCTTTCCTCCCCCATTACACACCCAGTCACCCACCTTCACATACACTTTTTTTTTTTAAGATTTTAATTATTTATTTGACACAGAGAGAGAGATCACAAGTAGGCAGAGAGGCAGGCAGAGAGAGAGGGGGAAGCAGGCTCCCCGCTGAGCAGAGATCCCAGGACCCTGAGATCATGACCCGAGCCGAAGGCAGAGGCTTAACCCACTGAGCCACCCAGGCGCCCCTCACATACACTCTTACACACAATCCCACATGCTCTCACACACAATCACAAATGTACGTTTGCTCACACAGGGTTCTGGCTCTCACTCCATGCCCATCTACCCACTCAGCCCCTTCCTGGGCCGGGCTTGGGATCCACCCATCGCCCTCAGCGACTGGAATGGTGGGCCCAGTCTCCTTGGAGTGTCCTGTGGGCACTAGAAGTGGCAGCTGGGAGCAGGGGACGCTCGGTGGGGTCTGGGGAGGGGATCTGTCCAGGGTCCCACCGGCCTGAGACCACTGTGGGCCCCCTGGAAGTAGGCACGGTTAGAACCCCGTTACAGGAAGCTGAGGCCCGAGGGGCTCGGTGGCTTGCCCAAGGCCACCCTCCAGTCGGTGGAGAAAACTGGTAGTGAGTCCAGGACCCCCGGCAGTGTCGGAGAGAACAGACCTCCCACGGGACCTGCCCCCGCCCCGCAGGTGGCCGGGCTCACCCCCTTTCCCAGCCGCCGCTTGAGCAGGTATCGCTGGGCTACGTGGTGGTCCACCTCCGCCGCGCACATGCCGTCGGGTGGGCGTCCGGAGGCCTCCGGACACCTGCGGGGCTGGAACTGTTGAATCCGGTTGCCTTGGAGACCGCCCCTCCTTGCGCTTGCGCTTGCGCCTGCGCCGCGCGGGGTGGGGCGGGGTGGGCGGCCCAGACCCCACCCAGCGCCCCGCCCACCGGCTCCTAGCCCCGCCCCCGCCTGCGAAGCCCGTGGCGCGGGGCGTGCGTTCGCGGGGCGCCCTCCGCCGGGCCGCTCTTCCCGCCGCCTCCCGCCTTCCCGCGTCCCCGCCCCCCAGGAGCGAGCGGGCCCTGAGCGGGCGGGCCAGGGGCCAGGGGCGCCGCAGGAGGGGCTCTCGGGCGCGCCGGAGGCGGGCGGAGTGCGAGCGCGAACCCCGCGTGCTGAGAGCGCACTTGCCGGCACGCGGGCGTCTGCCCCGGGAACGGCAGCGTCGGCCGCGCGGAACCGCACGCGAATGCCGCCCGCAGCCCTGCGTCCAGAGGCCCGCACGCGACGGACACAGAGGGACGGACACCGAAACGCGGCCACGGCGTCCGGCGGCTGCGCAAGAGGAAAGACGCTGCAGGAGCCACCGGCTGCGCGCGACATCTCCAGGCCCGTCGGACCCACGCTTCCGGGCACCGGCCCTTCACACTGACCGGCGGGGATGCCGTCCACGGCTCAGCGGCGGCGCCTGCGGCGGGCGCGAGGCGCTGGAACCTCAATGCACAAGCGGCTAATCGTGGTGAAGCTCCCAAGGGTGTACGCTTGGGCCTAAGTTACCCGAATCCTGCTCTGTAAGTACAAGGTTGTGTCTCGGTGTAGAGCTGGAGGATGCGCCGAGAAGCAAGGTGGGAGGGGCGGGTCTCCTGGCCCGGGAGAGTATCCAGCGCCGGACACGATGCCCTCCCCCAGAAAACGGCCGGAAAACTGGACCAAACGTGCAAAACGACTTTCTGTGAACTGGACAACAGACAGTGCAGGGCTGTGGTCTTGGGAAACCAGGAGCAAACAACCTCTTGACTTTGGTGCCAGCTCTGTGTCAGGGAGGAGTTGGGGAAGATTTCCACCGGTCTGCGATGGGGAAACTCAAGGACTCCATAAAAATCTCCTTTTTGCTCTGTTCCTGCTTGGATTCTTGCTAGGACCTGCACCCCCATCACATCCAGGCCTCCGATATACAAGTAGTATATGTCCTCCTTGTAAGGGACAAGGAGTCCGTGATTTCTCTGGAACAGATAGCGCCTAGGGAAGGACCAGGTAAGAATGAGCAGACAAGTCATCAAATGCATATCCCGGCCCGCCAGGGCCTCACACCTCCGTGCTGAGGCCTCCTAGCTCCTGGGAAAACCACCTGAGCCTCATTTTTGTTCTGACCACGTCCTGGATGCCTGAGGGGACAAGTAGACCAGGCCACCATCCTTGATTAAAAAAAAAAAAAAAAAAAAAACCCTTCCCCAAAGACTCAACTCATGCTCCTTTCCTTCCTGAGTCTCCCAGATGCTCTGTATCTGCTCTTTATCAATAGTTCTGCTTTCACGTCCTGCTGGCTCCTGTTTGACTTCTATCTTCCATGAAGCCGAGGACCATCCTGGCTGGTCCTGCGGGACCCCCTGGGTCCTTGGACCCAACCTGTTGGCATCCAGTCCACAGAAAGAACAACTTGATGGCAGGGGATGGGGGACGGTGTTGCTGAACAATTTTCAGGTTTCACGATGGTAGGGAGGTCATAGCCAAGCGGACGCCACGGCATCTAGGAGAGCCCCCAGACAGGTCACATCTCAATAAAGCGACTAAGCGAGCTCTAGACTAAAATCTATTGCACACCCATCATGAGTGTGAACAAACCTTAAAAGGTACAGGAAGCTACAAACATCACCTAACTGCCAGCCTAAAAGCGCCAATGTTCTTTAAAGGGAAACACCAAGAAAACAACACTCAGTAACAGAAAATTCAAAATATCCAGCATCCAGAATGTCATGAAAAGTTACTAGATTGGGGCGCCTGGGTGGCTCAGTGGGTTAAGCCGCTGCCTTCCGCTCGGGTCATGATCTCAGGGTCCTGGGATCGAGCCCTGTATCAGGCTCTCTGCTCAGCAGGGAGCCTGCTTCCTCCTCTCTCTCTGCCTGCCTCTCTGCCTGCTTGTGATCTCTCTCTGTCAAATAAATAAAATCTTTAAAAAAAAAAAAGTTACTAGATTGGGGCGCCTGGGTGGCTCAGTAGGCTAAGCTTCCAACTCTTGTTCTTAGCCCCGGTCTCAGGGTTGTGAGTTAGCATTGGGCTCCACGCTGGGTGTGGAGGCTCCTTAAAATAATAATTTTAAAAAAGTGACTAGATTTACCCAACTAAAAATATGGGCAAAGAATTTGAATAGACACAGCTCTGAAGAAGATATACAAATGGTCCACAGCACATGAAGAGTGATTAATGAACATCATTAATGCAATCAAAGATTCATGAAATCCTGTGAGGGGACTGCATCAGGTGGAGGCCAGGAGTGTGTCCGGGAAACCATTTACCAAGGACAGAACAAAGGAGACAGGAGTTTACTGAACACAGCACCAGGAAGCAGCAGGCAGGACAGCAAAGGAGACTGCCAGGAGGGAGGTGTTCCAACAAGTACTTGCGCACAAGTGTTCTTAACATTCACAAAAGCCAAAAAGTGGAAACAACCCGAGTGTCCACCAAGTAGGGAATGGATAAGCAAGAGGCGGTTTATCCACACAGTAGAATGAATTCAGCCCCAAGAAGGACTGAAGGTATGCTACGTAGTACAACGTGCTGCACCTGAGACACCGCGCTAGGTGAAAGAGGTCACAGACAGAAGATCACGTACATGATTCGACGCACATGAAACATTTGTAATAGGTACGTCCGCAGAGAGAGCAGATTGGCAGCTTCCTGGAGTTAGGGAAGGAGGATGGGTAGTGACTGCTTAATGAAAACAGGGTTCCCTTGAGGGTGGTGCCAATGTTTTGTGACAGATAGAGGTAGTGGTTACAAAGCATTGTGAATGTGTCGAATGCCGCTGAGAGGTATACTTTAATGTAATTTTATGTCCATTTCACCTAAATAAAAAAGTTACAAGGCTTGTGAGGAAGCAGGAACACATGACTCATATCCAGGAAACAAATCAGTTGATAGAACTAGACCCATAAATGACAGAGATGATGGAATTGGCAATGACTCGAAACAACAGCTGTTACATGTATGCTCATGGATTTAAAGGAAAACATGAATATGAGATGAGAAGTTATAAGTTATAAGAAATAACCCAGTGGAATTTCTAGAAGTTAAATTATCTGAACTTAAAACTCACTGGATGGACTTAACACCAGAAGAGATATCAGCGAACTTGAAGACACAGCAATAGGAACTATCCAAATTAAAACAGGGGAAAAAATTAAATTGAAGAAACTCTGAGAAAGTATCAAGAGAAGAGAGTGATGCAGAAAGTATATTTGAGAGAGTAATGGCTGAAATTTTTGCAAATTTGAAGGAAAAGTAACACACTCACAGATCCAGGAATTTAAATGAAACCTAAGTAGGAAAAACACATAGGGAGCCATAATGAAAAACACAAAGGGAGCATATGATAACTAAATTGCTGAAAAAGTGATTAAAAATACTAAAATTATCCCAAAAAACTTAATAAAAGGGGGGAACAAAAATAACTATAACCACAGATTCTTGTCAGAAAACAATTTCAAGCCAGAGGACAAAGCAAGGACATCCTTAATGTGCTAAAAACAAAATAAAAATTACACAAATTAAAACAAAAACTGCCAATCTAGAGTTATATACTCAGAGAAAATATCCTTCCAAAATGAAGACAATACTTTTTCAGACAAACAAAAGCTGAGAGTATATAACAACTGTAGACTTGAACTACAAAAAATGTATTTTTTAAAGATTGTACTTATTTGTCAGAGAGAGAGGGAGACAGCGAGAGAGCAAGTGAGCGGCAGGCAGAGGGAGAAGCAGGCTCTCCTCTGAGCAGGGAGCCCGATGCGGGACTTGACCCAGGATCCCAGGATCATGACCCGAGCCAAAGGCAGACACTTAACCATCTGAGCCACCCAGGTGTCCCTGAACTACAAAAAAATATTAATGAAAGTTTTCTTGAATGAAGAAAAATGATTCTGGATAAAAATCTGGGTTGACAAATAAAGAAAAAACCCTAGAAATGGGATATAGTGGCTAAATATAAAAGACATTTTTCTCATCTAGTCAATTTCACTGAAAGATAGTTGACTGCCCCAGCGAGACCTGGTAACTCAATGATATGATCAAAAGCCTATCTCAAATCCAATCATGACAAGGATGAGATACCACCTCGTGCCCATTAGTATGGCAAGAAAACTCCAAAAACAAAAACAAAAACAAAACAAAAACCCAAACCAAACCAAAGAAATAAAAAACCAAAAAACGGGAAAATAAAAAGTGTTTGTGAGGATGTGGAAAAATAGGAACCCTTGGACACTGTCCATGGGATTAGAAAATGATGTAGCCAATACGGAAAACAGCATGGTGGTGCCTAAAAAAATTAAACTTAGGGACGCCTGGATGGCTCAGCCCTTAAGCGTGTGCCTTCAGCTCAGGTCATGATCCCAGGGTCCTGGGATTGAGCCCCATATTGGGCTCCCTGCTCGGCGGAAGCCTGCCTCTCCCTCTCCCACTCCCCCTGCTTGTGTTCCTTCTCTCTGTGTCTCTCTCTGTCAAATAAATAAAATCTTTTTAAAAAATTAAAATTAGTGGGGCACCTGGGTGGCTCAGTGGGTTAAGCCTCTGCCTTCGGCTCAGGTCATGATCTCAGGGTCCTGGGATCAAGCCCCGCATTGGGCTCTCTGCTCACCGGGGAGCCTGCTTCCCCTCTCTCTCTCTGCCTGGCTCTCTGCTTACTTGTGATCTCTCTCTGTCAAATAAATAAAGATTAAAAAAAAAAAAAAAATTAAAATTAGAATCACCACATGATTCAGCAATCCCACTTCTCGATGTGTGTGTGTGTAATCTTAGTGTATAGTTTCAAAAGAACTGAAAACAGGGTCTCAAAGAGATATTTGCACATCCCTTGTTCATAGC